GCTTTATTTCACCATTCTGTCAACCCTTAACGTAATCAATCAATCGGTTATTCCAATAGAACTATGGAACATGATTCCATTATAATAATCTATTTCGTACACGTTATGGCCAGTTTGTGAAGCAGATTTCATGTAATTAGGACGATACATGGAATGATCTGAATGGTAATAAATGGCTTCTATTGAATGAATTCAAACGTCAAAGATACGAATATGATGTAAAGCAGGAACAAATGCTTGATCTGCTCAATTTCTCACACACACTTGTCAAAATAGAATGATTTTCATCAGCATTGGCCAGATTATGAAACGATAAACAGGATGAGATATGTGAAAATCATTCGATTGTTCTCTTTGATTTGATTCATTACAGCACACCGAAACGCAACAGCATCGTTGCCAGCATTCGAACATTACATAATGTAAGTGTATTTGTCATCAATTATGATCAAATTAAATATTTTTATCGATTTACTACTACAGAGTGTAAAATAGACTTTTGTGCTTCATTATTAAGTATTAAGTAGGTTTTACTTTGAACATCACGCTGTTTGGCGTCAGAGTTATGAATGATTGGAAAGATTTGAGATGATTCTTGATAAATTTTTGTGAAACGTCCCATCTCAATAGCCAGATAACACTTACTTATTCACGAGTCACTATAATTTCCTCTTTCAGAAAAGTCGTTGTTAAACTAAAAATTACAATTTTCGTAGTTTAATCCACTCAGTTGATTCACTATAAACTAAAACTTACTAAATGGGATCATTCCTAATTTACTCAATTTGAATTTAATTCAAACAACAACATTTACAGACAGATTGTGTAGGTTAACACCAAGATAGACTCTGTTTACGTTATAAAAATAATGTGTTAAAAGCCGTTTCAACAATAATATATACGGTCAATAAAAATTCATTGTATTTTTCCATTTACACAGCGAGCATGCTTCCAAAACGTACTGAAGAAAGAAAACGGTTTTCCAGGTTTGATAATATGCAGGCAAGTACGCGTGAGAGTAGGTTTTTTTCTCACATTCATTTGGCTTCGATCAACGTAATCACGTTGATCGTCTAAATGCGAAATAATGTTCATCTGATGACTCAATATTTTCAAAAAAGACTATATGACTGACTTTAGTGAAAAACACCTAACTAAATATGAGTTATTTTGACTTTCGAAGAATAGTTTAAATGAGGAAAATTTTTAATTGCAAACTTTTCTGCAAGCATTTTCAATAATGTTTCTTTGTATAATTTCGCATACTATTAACAGGGTGTTAAATAATACAAGTCGGAGGAAGTACGCTTTTGTTTGAACAGATAATTTTCACATAATAACTGCACTTCATTTTAAAATTGTCCGAAAGCATTCTCTTTTCTGCCGTTTTTCAATTCATAGGAACTAAATAATTTAACAAGGAGACCAAGATGAGGTCGACCAAGAAACGAAAAACAAGGCGTATGAGAATTTGAAATAGAATAATGACATATAATGGAAAGGCAATTAAATTGTAAACGGTAAATTGGCTTTTGTATGTTCGATTCAATCTATTATAAATGAGAGTGTTTAGTCGTCTTTTATATAACGTTCCAATGAGAAAAAAACAGTGGTAAAAAAGTATTAGGTGAAGAATGAAATGGATTTCCTTTAGTTGATTTCTTGTTACATCGGCTTTTGTGAAGTGAGAATATATTCATTCATTATTTTTAAACCAGGTAGTAAGATTCATTCAGGTTAATTCTAAGTTATCGATAGTATTTAAGTTGGGTTGACCTGTTACTTGTTGGTTCTTCAGGTTTATTCTCAAGATAATTCTCAAAATGAACATAGATGGAAATGAAATGTTATAATTTACAACCTAAAAAGATTTGGAACAGTGTGTCATTCCGGTGATTAATGCAGTAACTGTAAGCATTATTTCATCTCCGATGATAAGTGGGAATATCAAACATTTATTAAAGTATATCTTTGCAAAACAGCCATCGTTTGACACTGACATATAATTTTATATAGGGCGCGATATATCTGGGAGAAACATAACATTATTTTCTCGGACACTAATGAAGATATATCCTCAACCTGTAGGCAGCAGTCTTCATTTGATAAACTGCATTTCGAGATTGCAACAGTAGAATACGATGGAAACAGTGACATTTTCATGAACGTGCTTGTTACATTAAAATGGGCTGATGCAAGTGGTTTAGTGTGATTTACTTCTGATGCACTCACATTAATCCTGAAAAACTAATCAGCTGTGAACTGATTATTTGAAATGAAGAAAGTTCTGTATGTTACGCACAGTGAGACAATCAGATATCAAGACACATGTGTATATATCAGATTGAGAAAACAAGACAAATTATCATTTGTAATTTAAAAGAAGAAAACGATAAGACTGAAAGAAAATTTTCGATGTGACCGTCAATTATTAGGCCTGAAACTTATACTAGTTCCACCTAATCGATAAATGGAAAGAATATTGATGATGAGCTCAGATGATGGGTTTCTGTAGTCCGTTGTTCAAAGCCATGCTTGGATTATCGAAAAAATAAATGAAACGGGGAGAAAAGTGTATTCTTTCAGCCCACAGAGTATTCGAGGATGCTAATGATAGAAACTAGGCTCTTTATTACGATGACAGTCTAGCATGATTCTAGTGAGATATGTAATTCTCAAATTGACCTGATGGTTTTTAGCTGTCCCTGGTTGATTTCTGCCTATCTAAACTACCTAGTCACTTCACTGTCTTTACCACCACTGTTTTTGGCTTTCCTACCAGGTCCTTCAAATTGAATCTCAATTGTTCATATTTCTAAATTGGGCCGCTTTTAGCTTGTCTCACTTCCTTTTACTTTGAAAGTTCTCAATGTGTGCTTGTATCCTGAAGCATTCTTGTGTGTTTTGCAAAAATCAGGTTTATTTTTTACCACAATATGATGTTGCTTTTGATGTCTTTTGCTGGAGTAGCGAACTTGTAGGTGTACCAATTTCGAAGTGTTCTTAATATTCGTAATTAACTCGTTCAGACAATCGTTGCTAAATATCGCTTGCCAGTTTGTATATCAGAAGATGAATTTGTATCATCTTATACGTTTATTACGGCACACCACATAAAACGATCGTAGACGACAAGCAGACCGAGCAGTCACACTACTGAGCAAATATGCGAATGTGCGAATGAATGAAAATATAAAGTTCGTAAATAAACAAACACACATGCCTGAGTCATCGCGTTATTTGGGAGATTACCAATAAAACGAATAGGATGCATATGCGCATAGGCTTTAGGCAATACGCAATCATACCAGTTCATACAAACCACACAATTATATAAGCTAAAGATACATATAATTGTAGAATTCTTTTTGAATGTTTTGTTTTTGGGAAAATCTCTCCATGTTTACATATTTTCGCTTTGACCTGATGGACTTTTTCTCTTGACATTTTTGGTATTTTATTTGATTCCAATTTGAGATTTTACCATTGTATGTTGTTATTCTTTCCATATTTTGTACTTATATTGAAGTTTTTGTGTTTGCTTCTGAATTGTACATATATTGTTTAAATTTGATATAATATGGCTACCGCCACATTTTTGGATAGACGCGGTGGCTGCTGGACTTAGTGTCACTTACTAGCTATTGTAATAGATACTCTACGGAGTAATTTAGTCCTGGAAGAAACAAAAACATCGTAAGCCTCTGTATTTCCATTTTATAACAATATAGAGACGTTTTCTCCTAGAATTTTTGGCCTTCTGATTTGGCTGGGACCTGGATCTAGGAGTATCGTACCGGTGTGTTTCTATTGGACGCGATTAGGACAGCCGCCGGCGAAATAGATTCTACAGTCTGATGTTTGCTCTTCTTGCGTGAATTATACTTGGAAATATCCGTCGGGACGCATATAATTTGGATCTATTTGGATTATTAAGAATTACAAGGAAACATTTGGAATTTAATCGTTTATCATACTAGACTTCCTTGGAGGAAGACGCTGGAACTACTTATCATTAATTTTGAACTGAATTTTGGATTTATTCTATTTTGTATCGTTACCGTCTTTATTGAACTTTATTTATGATGTCAAACCGAAAAAAAATCACACGTGAGGAGGGTGGAAGAGCTCGACGGATCACAGGGCTCTAGGCAAGTCGTTGATGATAACCTTTTTATGGGTAACCCACATGTTATGTCTGATATTTATTATTGTAAGTCATCGATAGAGGGTTTAGAATTACCTAAGGTTGAACTCTCATATTTTGATGGAAGGTCTCGCGACTATTTTAAGTTCATACGACAGATAGAGACGTTTATAGAACCTCGAATCAAGGATGATCAAGTGCGTTTATTGTATTTAATTCATTATTGTAAGGGAAAAGCAAAAAATGCGATCGAAGGCTGTCTTATAATGGACCCACAGGCAGGATATAAGAGAGCTAAGGTTATTTTAAAACAGCTTTTTGGGCAGTCGCATGTAATAGCGCGAGAAACCTTAGAGGACTTATTTAGAACTGGGAATGTAGAATTTAATGATCCTGAATCATTGACGAACTTGGCCATTAAAATGCAGAATGCTTCTTTAACTTTAGAACAGTTAAATTGTACAGCTGAACTTAACTCTATGACTACTTTAGAACGAATAGTATGGCTCTTACCTCGTCGAATGCAAGCCCAGTGGGCAGAGCTAGTATTCAAGTGGGACGAAGAGGAGAGAGAGCCCAATTTTAACGAATTGACGGAATTTATTATGTCTCGTGCTAAGATAGCTAGTAGTAGGTTTGGAAGATTAGCTTATCAGGCTAAAACAGGAAATAATACGGAAGCTACTAGTGGTCTGCGTGTGAGTCATTCGGATTCTTCGTTTCTACCTAAAGCACGCTCGGAAGATAAGAGATTTGTCAATTATATCACGAAAGCATACGCTGATGAAGGACGAGTATGTGACCGTAACGATGATAAAAGCCTCTTAGCTGCTCGAAAAGCCTGGAACGGTAATTTGGATTCGAGTAATCAGAGGTTAGTGAGTTCAGCAAATATGAATAAAGCCCAGGCAGGATTGACTGAACGGAATAAAGCTTATTTTCGGAACCCTTCAGTTAGGGTAAATTATATAACTGGACCTAGAGTAGCTTCTAGTATAAGTGATGGTGGAACAGTAACGGCTAAGAAGCCTAGGAGACATGATGCTACTATTACTAAGAAGCCTGAACCTGATGCTCTTTCGGATGCTACGATTAGCCATGGAAATAGTAGCCATCAGAACCTTAGTAGTGACAGTGATAATAAGGATATAGAAAGTGTCAGCAGTCCACTTATAGGGACTAGTTTATCAACTTCATCGAATGAGCCTCCTAGTGTTTCGACGCCATTGGACCTCGTCACGAAGGTTAAGTCGATTGAAGATGCACAAGGTTGTGCAACTGTAACTGTTCCAATTACGGTTGACCGTCAGTCGAGTGATGATGAGAAGAAAATGTTTGATGGTAACAGCCAGTCTACAGTGCTGTGTGATGACGATGCTATTGTTGAGCATATGTCTTGTGCCGCTGAAACGGATGCTAATGCAGAACGGAATCAATTAGACGTTGATAATAAACCGGATGTCACTGATGTGACAAATGAGTTACCGACGATGATGAACACTGTTCAAACCTCCTCTGCATCAGGAGATGGAAGGATAAATATTGATCCTACGTCATGCTACTTAAGGTCTTCTGGAGACGACGAAATGTCAAAATTGGAGATCTCACCCTTGCATATTAGTTATGGGTCAAAAACTTCTGTTGATAAGTTAGCATCACGGACTTCATGGTATCTGCTGATCGGAGCAAGTGGTGGTGGATTGGCGACTCGTCCCCATGAAAGAGAATGTAGTCCTTGGATAGGATATGACCAGTTTTGCGACGCGTTGTTCATGTTCGTATGGGTTAATTGGGTAAGGTTTATACTACCGTTAGGTCATTCCACGATAGATAGGGGGATCAAGGGCCTGATGGGAAAGTAAAGGTATCTAGTTAGCGCGATAGGTCATATCCATGTTGGATGGCGGGTAGGCGTACTGCTGTAAGTCCTACACGTTATTCCGGTGTGGATTAGGGGATAACATGGGAACCCTAAATAAGGTGTCATTAACGCTTGCTGTTTTTGCATGGAGGGATTTTGCGGGCCGGTGTAGAATTCTTTTTGAATGTTTTGTTTTTGGAAAATCCCTCCATGTTTACATATTTTCGCTATGACCTGATGGACTTTTTCTCTTGACATTTTTGGTATTTTATTTGATTCCAATTTGAGATTTTACCATTGTATGTTGTTATTCTTTCCATATTTTGTACTTATATTGAAGTTTTTGTGTTTGCTTCTGAATTGTACATATATTGTTTAAATTTGATATAATATGGCTACCGCCACATTTTTGGATAGACGCGGTGGCTGCTGGACTTAGTGTCACTTACTAGCTATTGTAATAGATACTCTACGGAGTAATTTAGTCCTGGAAGAAACAAAAACATCGTAAGCCTCTGTATTTCCATTTTATAACAATATAGAGACGTTTTCTCCTAGAATTTTTGGCCTTCTGATTTGGCTGGGACCTGGATCTAGGAGTATCGTACCGGTGTGTTTCTATTGGACGCGATTAGGACAGCCGCCGGCGAAATAGATTCTACAATAATTGTTATACAAATTGCTTGGTTTTATTGAAAAATCGAAAAGCTTGAACAAATTAAATGTAGGCGGATGCAAATAAATGTGGATTCACTACAATAACTTCCTTCCGGCAAACAGGGCTACGAAAATGTCTTCGTTTCCTAAAACCAATCGAAATTGTCGGCAAACATCAAAAGTTTCATAAGATATTCGCACACGTTCGTCCGGTTGCAAAGGAAAAGAAAATCAAACAAAATTATGGCAGTGATTTATGTTAAATCACAATTTCAAAATAAATAAAACATATCGATGGTTATGACAGATAAGTGAGAATTCTTTTTGACAAACAGATGCGAAACAAAAATAAAGTGTGTTCGATATGTTTAGAGGAATAATCAGTTCAAAATCGTGTCTTTATATCGTTGCGTCCACCTGATTCTTCGTCCTTATCTGGTCGTAGGTCCACTTCTTTCTGTTTTATGTGTTGCTACTTCAGAGTGTTTGAGCTCGCTTTTCGTGATTCAATGACTTTCGATGGCTTTGTGTTTATTGGCTGTTCGTCGCCTTCGGTGAATGCTGATTTGACCGTGTCTATGCTTAGTGCATCCGTTTTTCCAGCTATATCTACTGTGATAGTTTTATCGTATCTTTTGTTAACTTAAAATGGATAATCGTTGGTCGGTTGTAAGGGACGACGCACTAAGTCCCTCCTGATAAAAACATGGGTGCTATCGCTTAGTTAGTTTTATCAGTCGGAACAATCTTACCTGAGATGAACAACACTCTTGATATACTGAGGTTACATCAGTAAACTAACTCTGCAATGCCACATCCTATGTTTGCTTTAAAAAGTCGATCTAAAACGCAACATGACCAATGTGGGCGAACCCCATGACCAGCTAACCGCCTTCATTCAATCTTTGGAACTGCAGTTGCTTCGTATTGTTAAAAGTCATCTTCCTGCTTATCTTACTTCCGAAACAACTGACTGCTAGTGTTCAGTCATTTATTATATCCTAATATTTGGGATAATTGAAGCAATTAAACAATAATAACAGTATTACTTGTAGACATCTATAATTCTGAACTTGTTTTTCACAAAAGTAATAATTCGTGAATGAAAGTGAAATGAAACCTTCTAACCTGAAAATCAATAAGTGATGTTTTTGTATGATGAATATTAGTGGTTGAATATACCGATAAATACAATAACCCAAAAGAAGTAAAATGTCATTTGAACCTCAAAGAATTGTCATCAATCTTGATAAATTTTGTCACAATAGAACACGTTCGCATGAATCGTTATAGTTCAAAGATTATTATCACTTGAACTGACGTTCATCATTTGAATCGACAAAATCATAAATTCTCCCCAATCATGTGTGCTAGAGGTGGTTTTACAAAGGAGTCATCAATTCAAGTCCCAACAAACTGTTTTTTAATATTAAATATAAATTGACAAATGTGTCCCTGTGCTGATATTGTATGGAAACTAGAATATTATTGGTCCTCTAAAATGAGTGCCTTTCATGTGATCATGTGCAGAATAATTGTATGAATTGGATATAAACCAGTGTGAACAGATTCGATATGTCGACCCATAAGACAACAGCAGCGCGATCGTAGGTCAGGAGGAGGATGTACCGTTTGGGTGAATAAATGCACAGAGGTAGAAATCCGTGAGACAGTATGAGAGATTCTGAAAAACGATTTTCACTTTTGTGCAAAAAGGACCGGTAATTCTATGTTTTAACAGGTGTCAATTCATCATAGCACTGAATCTATGTATAGAGGGATAGATAAGGCCTGGCAACTGATCAATCCGTATGTTAATATTGTACATTTGGATTCGAGAGAATGATGATATACGTAATTAGGCCAGTTTTAATCGCAATGAAAAATGAAATATTACCAAGCATTTCAGTGTGAATATACTTCTTACGTTCAACAGCCTCGACGTATGAAGTCAGTTTATGTAAGATTAGTAAGACTAACGTAAAAATACATAAAAATGGTGGTGTTAAGATAAATTAGGAGGAGATCGACAGGTTTAACTAATTCAATATCAAATTGCACAGAGATATAAAAACGAAATTGTTTTCTTTGGAAATTCGCTAATATTTGTTTCTGGCCTCATATACGGATACGGATTCAGGTCAACACACACACGTGAAAGCATGTGAAATACAAAACGCAGGCGAGTTATGTATTGAAGAAAAAGTGAGCAAATAGATTACACAGCACACTTTGCATTAGTGCACTGGAGAAGCTGACACAAACAATAATGGAGTAATATGCAGCTGAATATGAACTTGAATATAACACTTTCTCCAATTGAAGTGTTGATAGAAATCATGGAATAATGAATATCTGATCTTAAATTTCATCGGAATAAACGATGTCTCAGGAAAATCACTGAACAATAGTGGACCATGAATCATGAATCAAAACAAAGCATGTTCATATGCGTTTGAAGTAATGTGTTTATTATTTCGCGTATTGTCATTGTTGTGTTGTGGATAAACTATCTTATGTTATACGAAAGGAAATGTGTGGTTGATCATTCATTGAGAAAAACGTAAGTTTATATTCCCAATTAACAGATACATCTATTCTGCATTTATTTGTTCCGTTATTTCAACACTATTTCATCTACTGTTGGGAGTGATCACACAGCAGTAATTATTGAGCATTGAACTATCTGAACGTGAATGTACCAATAATGGAGAATTATTTAGCTGATTATGAACTTGAATGCAACCCTTTCTCCAATTGAAAGGTTGATAGAAATCATGGAATAGTGAATATCTTTATTATCATAATAAACGACTCTGTGGAGATGGCATGACAAATTTATTTTGTAGACAGTTTTTGATACTATCTGTATTTATTTTGTTAATTTTTACAGCTTGTACATTCACTATGAAATTGTTGTACATTTTGTTTATCTGAGTGACCTTGAATACAACAGGCGCTCTCATTCCTCGCTGCTTTCATTTTCTGTTCACTGTACATTAGCACGGCACTCGCCGCTATACATTATCAAATACACTTTATACATACCATTACTATTCTCATCTGCTTATTTGGAATATTAGTCTTAACCATTAATACTTATGTTATCTACTTTATAGACTGCAGTCACATACACATACTGACCTTTGGAATATCATAGCAAATGGATTATTAAATATAAAGAGATTGTAGTGGAATTCGATCAGATCAAATCGAACACGCACAAGTAGCTGCATTAAGTAACGTTCTTATATTTTTATTGTATTTATCGCATTTAACTGATATATTTCAATATACATTTATTGATATTCGATAACCTTGTTAATATTTTGAAATAATATATTGATTGGTCCACTACAATTAAATGGTGAGCTTGTGTTTATGCCATTTGTTATGCTACTATAATTTTTTTATTGTTATTTTTGGCTAGACCATTTTGTTTATTTCTCGTACGGCTATATTTGTACTAAATCACTTACAATGAACTCTCCCCCAGCTAATCCTTTCTCCACATCACAGTCTGAAGATAAGACCCTAAGTTCCATTAATGCTATCTTAGATTTTAAGCTTCCTGCGTTTGGCATTAGCAACCCTAGGATGTGGTTTTTTCAGATTGAAGCTTTATTTACAGCCAAAATCATACGTGCACAAACTACAAAGTACGCATATGTTGTTAGCTCACTTCCATTAGACATAGCTGCACAAGTGGGAGATTTTATTGCTCAAGTGCCTGAGAACGACCCATATGATAAACTTAAAGCCGCATTGACTCAGAGAACTTCTGCATCAGACGAAAAAAGGCTACAACAGTTGTTACCTCCTGTGAGTTGGGAGATAAAAAGCCATCCCAATTACTAAGATACATGCAAGAGTTGTCTGGCCCTTATAAGTTAGACGAGAATGAACTCAAACAACTTTGGCCTCAACGGCTACCTCACAACGTCAGAGAGATTCTTATGGTAACTATTAATTCAGCCAACCTGACCGAGTTAACCGACATGGCTGATAAAATAACTGAAATTTATCCAGAAAGCCCAATTGTTAATTCTGTACAAACTACCAGTAAAGATAATGTGTATCATGTTATTAGCCTTCAACAACTGCAAATAACTCAGCTCACAAATCAGACTGATTCACTACGAGCCTCGATAGCTATGATTAGCACGAAACCAACTTCATCTTTTCCTAGAAGAAGGTCAATATCCCGACATCGCTCTATATCTCCGAAAAGGACAACTGGCGTTTGTTGGTACCATCAAAAGTATGGTGACAAAGCGCGACGCTGAACAAGACCGTGCACGTTCCCTGCAAGCAGTCAAGAATCACAGGGAAACTGGCCAGCCAGACAGTGATGGCGGCGACTGCTTCTGGCTATGCTACTAGCCGTCTGTTTCACATCAGGGACACAATTTCGGGCTCAGACTTTTTAGTCGATACAGGAGCCGAAATAAGCATTATCCCTCTACACCTTTCACGACGGCAACACATCACCCACAGCAAAATAACACTCCAGGCAGCGAATGAAACAATCATCCAAGCTTATGGGGTACAATCCCTCATACTCGACCTTGGTCTCAGACGACGTTTCACATGGGTTTTTGTGGTAGCACAGGTCAAACAGCCTATCCTGGAAGCAGACTTCCTTGCTGCCTCTAATCTGCTGGTAGA